TCCTGCGCGGCCCCCTCTCCGATGGCATCTGCAAAGGGGGTGCCCGGCCCAGAGTGTGAACGTGGGTGGCCCTGCTGTCCCGGGCTGGGGACTGGGCGTGGGGACTGCGAGGGCTTCGATGCTGGCTCCTTTAGCGAGATCCTGGGGGGGCCCGGGAGAGGGACCAGGGCCTGTGACCTATTTCACGTCCCCGGCCTGGCACGCGTGGTGCGCACAGATCCGTGTTTGTCGAATGAATGAATGAGCGATTGGATGGATGGTGACTTCTGGCCCGGCACGGGGAGGTCGGCTGGGCGGGGGCGGGTCCCTCACCTGTCACTTCAGCCTCCGTTGGCGTGGGGGGCGCCTCCCATCCCCCACCTCCTCACCCCCCCCCAGTGGGGGCCTGAAAATCTAACTCCTCCTGTGGTCCAGGAGTTCAGGAGGCTCCCAGTTGGCCCTAAGTCAAGCTGGCGTCCCCGGCTCATGGGAGGTCCCGGTCCCTGGGGTGTCTGCACAGGGTTTCTAGGAAGGTTGGAGGGGAAAGCGGGGGTCCCTCCGCGTGGCCCGCCGGTGTTGCCGTCACAGCCGTGGTGAGCTCTGTTCCGGAGGGTGGCTGGGTGCTGGGCTGGACTTCTCTGTGCAGCTCCTCTGTCTATTTTTTCCCATTTTTAAAATCTCCCCCCAAAATCATCAGCAATGGAGGGGTTGGGCCGGGGCCTGGGCCGGAGCCTCGGTTTCCAGGGAGTGAAGTGATTTTTTTTTTTTCCTGATTGGAGAATTGGAACCCAGGATACCTCAGGGTCTTTGGGGTCCTTCCTAGGGGAGGCAGAGATTGAGAAACAGGGTGTCTGTGACAGCCGCTTCCAGGGGTCCTGACTGTGCGCCCAGAACGCTCTGGGTAGTGGGTCCCCAGCCTGTGTGGCATCTAGCAGGACTTGACCTGGCCACTTGGCCTGAGTTGGGCACAGGCAGGAGCTGCGAGAATCGGATCCGCCTCTGGGGCTCGGCTGTGTGACTCCTGGCCTGTGCTGGCCCTTTCTGGGCCTTAGCCAAAGCGAGGTGGCTGTTGTATAGGAAGCCAGGACGCCTGGGGGAGGGAAAAGACTGCAGGCCCCTCCTGCCAGCACTTCTTATGTGTGGTTTTATTCCTGGGGACCCAGAAAGGCACCTGCCAGTTGCTGTGGGGATCAGAGCTGGGTGAGGGGCATGGAGAAAAATCACTTCCAAAGCAGATCCTCCGGTGCCTCTGAGTGCCCGGATGTGGGGGTCCTGTGAGGGTGGGTGCCAGGGACGCCACGAAGGCTCTCAGGGTGCGGAGGGACTGTCCTGTGAGGCACCCAGCACGCTGGACAGAGGGCCGAGCAGGCTCCCTTGCCTCCAACCCCCACCCCCGCACTGCCTCTCGGGTTTTTTTGCCCCTTATTTCCCGTTGAGAAGGGCTTCGGAACATCAGTGCAGTTTGGGAACCCGAGTCCCAAAGTGGGGGACCTCCTTGGCCCCACACAGATCAGGGCTAGAACCCCCTACCTGCCTCTCCTTCCCAGGCCTGCGAATGTGGAGGAAGAGCTTTGGGGCAAAGGGGTAACAGCTCCCCCCGCCGGGATGAGGCCCCCAAAGATGGTGTGGGGGGAGGGCAGTCCCCCCTGACATGGAGGGGCTGAGGCCCCTAGAATGGGTTGGGGGTTGGGTAGGGTCAAGGCCAGGGCCAGGGTGAAGGGTGGGGTTAGGGTTAGGGTTGGGGCTGTTTCTCAGTTTTAGGAGCAGAGATGGAGACAGACACAGAGCCAGGGACCCCGGGACCCCAGGAGAGCAAGGGGCCGGGGGGAGATGGAGAAGGGGTGCCACCGCCACTCCCAGAACCCCTGTCCCCTGTCTCATCCGGAGAAAGGGGCCCAGCCCCTGCCAGCTGGGACCTGGGGCCCCCTGACGTCCCCTGGGGTGGTGGCCTGGTGGGCACAGAACCAGGGGGCCCAAGAGGAGCCCCCCACGCGGGGACCGCATGTGAATGCCTCCCCAGCTCGGGGTGGCTGAGGACCCCTTTATGCAAATTGCGCCAGCATTTGCATGCTAATGATAATATTTATCTTAAG